AGAGATCAAGCCCGAGTGTCCCCTTTGCAAGACGAGGGTCACTTCCATCCGGCGCTTGCTGGGCGGGGACAAATTCGAAGAGATCCCCACAAGACCATGTGCTGCATCCTTGGTCAGCGCCCAAGACGAGGGGCCATACGAACTGCTGTCACCAAGGGCGCTCAGGGTAGATCAGCCAGGGAATCCGGAGGGGTTCGTGGGTGGCCTTCACCCCAGCACCTGGGGGTTCCTTTTCAGGAATCACCCAGATTTCCTTGAGCTCCTGCAGCCCTGGCTGCATCAGGAGCTGGGGTACATCTTTGGAGAAGAACATTTTCAGGTACGAACACTGGAAAACATGATCCTGAGCGCCCTGCTCATCGTGTACCGGCTTGAAGAGCTTCTGGTCGAGGAGCTGCAGGCTGACCCCCAAAACCACGCAACAGCGTTCGTGCAAGACATTGAGTTCGCTGTGGACTGGTATGCGAGTGCAGCTCACCGCCTCCTGCTCTTTTGGGACATCCATGGTGCCAGGGGGTTCGAGGAGAGCCCTGAGGACACCACCAGCTCCGCTGTCTTCACGAAGTGGCCGGAGCACAGCCCCATGGCCAGCACCAGTGCTGCTGCCTCCCATGGTGGGACTCCTGAGCCCCGACCAGCCTCCTCCAGCAGCACTGCCACGGACCAACTCCCAGGCACCTCGACCGCTGCTTTTCGAAGGAGAGCCAGCCGCCCTCCCTCCGTCCTTGCTCCCATCCCAGAGGAGCAAGAGGAGCTGCCCAAGGAGCCGGGGCAGGCTGCGTGCGGCGGTGCCTCTGCTCCCAGCCAGGGCAGGAGCTGCTCACATCAGGGGCCCTGGCGCCCTCCGAAGGGGAAGGCTGCCAGCTCCGAGGATGCTGCCGCATGCACCAAGAAACCACCTCACCCATGAGGCTAGAAGACCTCACTGCTGGTGAAAAGGAGGCCAAGGCAGCAGCGGGGCCACACGCCACCCCCCCAGGGGACCAAAAGGCTCTGCTCAGTACTGGAGAACCCAGCTCTACCTGAAAATAAATGTTATGAAAATAGCAGAAAGAGTCTCAGTACTGTCACTCATAGCCAGTGAACAGGGACCGTATTCCCAAATGCTTCTTCAAATCAAACATGTCCAGAATGGCTTTACCAGAGTTGCTAAATACTCAGTAACTCCTCAAACCAAGGAAAGATAATAGGATTTGTGGTGGTGTGCAGGGTGGGTTTAGGGTTTAAATGTAGTTGAGATATAGCCACTTGCAGGACTGCAGATATGTTTTAGTTCCTGATTATTTGCCATATCTCTACTTGCCTGAACAACTGTGGGTTTTAAGGGCAGTTGACCCGAGTGAGTCACAAACCAGAAATTAATTCAGAATAGAAGGCTGAACGGCCTGGAGAAGTGTCTAGCACCAAAATCATTAGTTATGCTCCGTGGTGGAATAAAAAGGGATGGTCCTGATTTGGTTCCTCTTCATCACTTTCTTATCCCGGGTTTTGAAATATGAGGCTTCATATTTCAAAATTTCATATTTCATGTTTGGCAAGTGCTGTGATTGGGGACAGGGACAACCACCATTTCCACAGACAAATACAAGTGTCCCCTTACTCATCAAATTGATAACACAAAAGTGTTTCCTCCTCTAAGAGCCTGAAACCAAGCTGCTATTTGCTTTGGGCTCCAGACTCTGCCTGGCTTTTGCAACGGGATTTATCCAACAAGGGTTCCTTGCAGCAGGGAACACCATCTCTCCTCCAGGCCTGCAAGGTGCATTATAGACACAAATTCAATTAAGCTTCACAGCAAACTCTGCTGAGGCAGGCGGGTGGGGATTAGTCAAAGAATCAATTATGAGAGAGAAGCCAAGTTAGAAAACGAGTCTGTCGGACACTGTTACCCTGCCCTTGATAGACGTTTCTTGCCCTAATAGCAACACTGACTACAGCATTCTCCAGAAAACCCACACAAAACCAAGATCTCTGATACAAAACAAAAGCTGCAGCTACTATCTATAACTGTAGATTTTCCACAGAAAGAGGCAAGATAGAAAAGGGAAGAACAATTTAGACTGATGGGAGAGATAGAGAAGTGAAAGGTGGATCCTGTGTCATGGACATGGAGTGAGTTTACAACAAAGTGTAAAAACAAACCCTGAATCATAGATTCATAGATTCGTAGATGCGTAGAATGCATTGAGTTGGAAATTCCAGTTGCCTTTCTAGAAGAGTATCTCCCCTTTCCAGCCACTAACTCTAGTACTTGCTCCTTGTTCCCCACAGTCTGCAACACTACAGCAACATGAAAACTTCATCCAAGGTGCAGCTGCATTTATTCAGAGCAATTCTGCTTGGCAGGGTCCCTTTTGCACAGAGATGAGCTGAGGCAGAGGAAGGGCAGGAGCACACGGCTCTGAAGGGAATGTAATTACAGCTCCGTAACATCATTTTTTTGCACCTCACTTTCCATTATGAAACTCCAGTTTGGAGCTCATGCAACCAGTGCCCCCAGCACTGCCCTCGCGTATCCTCCCGCACGAAACACAGGGTTACACGAGCCCTTCTGCCCCCCAACAAAATTAAAATATTTTCTGAAGTTATACTGTATTTCTGACCTGTAGAAGTCCTGGGCAGTCCAAGAAACGCTGCCTCCCACAATTCCTCCTCTTCCACCTTGGTCAACCCATCTCCCAGCTCACCAGTCTCGTTCTCGTGAGCTCAGTCTCTCCCACTCCCTCTGTTCCTGCTCCTCGAGCAGCAGACACCGGCCACCTTCCACCCTCCGGGAGGAGAAGCAGCTTGTCCCAGGGTTGTTGGGCTCCCAGGGGTCAGGCACTCATCCCTGTAGGGCAGCGGGAGAAGGAGAAGACCACAAGGCTGGTTCCTGCCCCAGGGTGAAGGGACCATTGAATGACCCGCTCACCTTCTTGCAAACCACACAGCAAAACAGGCACTGCCTTTGCCTTTGATCTCCAGGTTAACTCTGGTTAAGAGGCCTTGTTCTTCCCTCCAGGGTGAGATGGAGGTAGCTCCCTGCAGGCTTTCAAACCGTTTCTGGGGACGAGGCTGGACTCCTGTTTCTCAGGACTCTTCAACAGACTCAATGTGAGTTTCCCACCAGGCCGATAAAGCACCTTTCTCCACCCATGCATCTCCCTTCTGTACTGCTCATCCGTGGCTCAACTTCTGCCACCTTCTACTTTCACATGGAAAGAGCTGACTGGTGGGTGAGAGCACGCCTGGTCCCATCACAGCAGCACTCGGGTCAGAAAGGCCTCTCGGGCTGGGGAGCTGCCAACTTGTGGGTGGCCAAGGGACAGCCAGGTGCCTGCAGATAGGTTATATTTCCTTTTCTCGGGGTTCTGGACTCACACCTGCACATACACCCCTGAGACCCTGCTCCTGATGGAAAGGAAAAAGCACAAAATATTAATGGACAGGAAATTCATGGCAGTTTTCACTAGACTTTTGGTGTAAATAATTTTAGGTGTAAATTCTTCCGCTACTTCTCCCTTGTGCCCAGTGGGATTTGACCACTTCAGCAGTGCAAAGGAGCCCACATCTGGGAGATCCAGTCACCCGAGGTACTGGGAGGAGCAGCACCTACTCAGAGCTTCCTTGCAGCCTAGGGAGTCCCTGCCTGCAGGAACAACCCCTCAATAACTCTGGAGGAACAGAGAGAAGACCTGAAACGCTTGCAGCGCTGCTACTGGTGGCTCCAGGGACTTCGGAGATATCAGGAGGAGAAAGAGGTGGAAGCCTGAGGGTTGGATGTTCAGCAACTGCCTCATGGGGTCTCTCAGGAGGGTCTGGTGTGCGCCAGCGTTTGTGAAAGGAGTCAACAAAGCTCCTCTTAAACTTGTCATTAGCAAACACATAGATCAGGGGATCCAGACAGGTGTTTGCCATGGTGAACACCCAGCTGATGTAGTAGGCAAGTTCTACTTGGTGCAAGAGCTCATGAGATGTATCGTAGTACTTCACAACGATGCCAATGGTCCTGCAGATGTACAGGGGTGCAAAGCAGATGACAAAAATCACCAGAGACACTGTTACCATCTGCAGAGACCTGGTCTTCATCTTCTTGCCGCTGGAGCTTTTCTTTGCTGCTTTAGCAATGGCAGCTCCTAACAGAGCTCCGCAAGTCAAGGTAATGGCAAAGGGCAGGAGGAAAGAGAGCACAAACAAAACCATGTTGTAGAGGAAGTAAACGTAGGACAACTTTGACTGATGAATATGTAGGCATTGTGCCGAGCCATCAATAACTGAAGTCTTCAGGAGGAAGAAGAAAGGCAGCCCTTGGACAAAGAGAATGGCCCAGATGAACAAGCACAGCTTTCTCAAGAAGCTCTTCTTCTTCCAGAGGGACTTGCTCTTGTACCGTGCAATGACAACGTACCGGTGAATGCAGATGAGCGTCAGGAAATAGATGCTGCTGTGGACATGGACACTGTAGAGAAAGGCTTCGAACTGGCAGAGGAACTGCCCAAATGGCCACCGGTTGCCAAGGCTGAGGTAGGAAATCTCTAGTGGAGCAACAGGGATGGCGAGGATGTCTCCCAGGACGAGGCTGAACTGCAGGGTCGTGCCTGAGTCCCACTGCTTGATGCGGAAGCAGAACACCCAGAAGCTCACGC